CACTCCCACCTAGTTTGGTGTCATCTGCAAACTTACTGAGGGTGCATTCGATCCCCTTGTCCAGATCATCAATAAAGATATTGAACAAGACTGGCCCCAGAACCGAGCCCTGAGGGACACCACTGGTGACCCGGTTTGCCCCGGTGCCTGCAGAGCAAGGACCTGGCCCTTGACCTGCCTCCTTCCTGAGCTTCCCAGCAGCAGAGTGGAGGCATCTGTGACACCTGGGTGTCCCTGCCCTGGTCCCCCTCCTCTCCAAACCCCAAGTGCAGGCTCAGTTGTTGGCACAGCCCAGCATTGCCCCTCAAACCTGTGACGCTGGTCCCCCACACCAGCCCGAGGGTCACCTAGATCCCAGTTCACCTCTTCATGAGGATTTAACAAGACAAAGAGACATCCTGGCAGGGGTCTGATGAGCTGCAGTCCTACTGGGATTCCCTACCAAAGTTCCATCTTTCCATGGAAGGTCACCAATGCACATGCCCAAGGCCACAGGACGGCTTAGGGAAGAGTAGAAACCCAAATCTCTGCCCTCCAGCCCTTCAGTCTGGTGCCTAAACCTCTCCCACTCCCCCTCTTCTCTCAGGAACAACGCAGACAATGTGTGGTGTCCTCCAGGAATGTCTTGGAAACGAGCCAGACCTGATACCCACTTCCACTTTGCGGCACCGAAGGGAGGCACCTGAGGAACATCAGAAGGTCTCTGCTGTCCCCAAACCCAGCACAGCCCAGCTGAGGGGCATGTGAACAGCCCCCCCTTCCTGGTGACTTCTCTGGCTGGAACACGAAAGCCCACATTAAACAGAAGGAGCTGATCCACAGCCTTTCCTAGCACCGCGGCGCTGAAATAAAGGGGGAATCCAGGACGAAGAAGGGAAAATGGAGAAAGCAACTGCCATTTCTGAAATCAGAACCCAGAGATCAGCAAAGACCCAGGGCAGGAGCAGAATTACCAGACACCTGCTGGGTTTGGCCCAGGAGGCTGTTTGAATCATAGAATCATAGAATCATAGAATGGTTTGGGTTGGAAGGGACCTCAAAGATCATCGAGTTCCAACCCCCCTGGCCATGGGCAGGGACACCTCCCACCAGAGCAGGTTGCTCAAAGCCCCATCCAGCCTGGCCTTGAACACTTCCTTCTTCTTCACTGTGAGGGTGGTGGAGCACTGGAACAGGTTGCCCAGGGAGGTGGTTGAGGCCCCTTCCCTGGAGATATTCAAGGAGAGGCTCAACGAGGCCCTGGGCAACCTGGTCTAGTTGGGGGTGTCCCTGCTGACTGCGGGGAGGTGGGACTAGATGACCTTTGGAGGTCCCTTCCAGCCTGGGCAATTCTATGATTCTATGATTCTATGACTTCCAGGGATGGGGCAGCCACAACTTCCCTGGGCAAACCTGTTCCAGTGTCTCACCACCCTCAGAGTAAAACATTTCTTCCTGAGATCTAATCTGAATTTTGTTTGTTTCCCCTCAGTCCCATTTGCAACACGAGGGAGACTAAATGGGGAAGTATCTGAGTATCCGAAGTATCCAAGTGAATCACAAAGATTTGGGTTTTCATTTTAAGCCTGGCTACTGGGCAACAGTTAGCTGTTATTCAGCCTGGAGAAGAGGAGGCTGAGGGGAGACCTTCTTGCTCTCTACAACTCCCTGAAAGGAGGGTGTAGAGAGGTGGGGGTCGGTCTCTTTTCTCAAGTCACAGGTGACAGGACGAGAGGAAATGGCCTCAAGTTGCACCAGGGGAGGTTCAGGCTGGATATTAGGAAAACATTTTTTCACTGAAAGGGTTCTCAGCCATTGGAATGGGCTGCCCAGGGAGGTGGTTGAGGCCCCATCCCTGGAGGTGTTCAAAAGACAGGTTGATGTAGTGCTGGGAGGTATGGTTTAGTGATGATGCTCCTTGTTTGTTGTGGGGGTGTCTATTTTTGTCAGTTGGGTTGACAGTTGGACAAGATGATCTTGAAGGTCCCTTCCAACCTAGAAGATTCTGTGATTCTGTGAACAGCTGATGGAGACAGTTGCCAGCCCCCAAAAGCCGTTGCCACCGGCTGCCATGTGCTTCCTTACCTGCAGAGATGAGAGAGGCTCACAAAGATGCTGGGGTCTGACAGGCCATTATCATCCAGCCACAAGACCTCCAGAGATGGAAACCTTAAATGAGCAGAGCTGCAGATACAAAGAGGCTCATTAATAACACGTTCAAGCAAAGCCAGGTGAAAAACGTATCATTTTCTGTCACCAGGGGAATATAAACTCCCCCCGGAGACGGGGCTGCGGCTGTTTTCATTCTTTTAATAGAAAACTGATATCCTAACTCAAAGCAGCTTAATTGAATCCGTCCAAACGACCATCCAGCTCAGCATCTTATCTCCAACCACGGCAAACCGTGGATATTTTGGTGGCTGTGGCTTAGCTATACACGAAGGGTCTAATTAATGATGAATAAATAACATCCCACTCACGTGGCTTGGCCACCTGACAGGGCTGCAAAATCACTGTCCAGAGGTGTTCTATGATCACAGCAGATCATAGAATCATAGAATGGTTTGGTAAATCACTGTCCAGAGGTTCCTCTCTAGCTGCTGATCACAGCAGATCATAGAATGGTTTGGGTCAAAAGGGACCTTAAAGATCACCTAGTTCCAACCTCCTAACCCCTCCCACCAGACCAGGTTGCTCCAAGCCCCCTCCAACCTGCCCTTGAACCCCTCCAGGGATGGGGCAGCCACAGCTTCTCGGGGCAACCTGGGCCAGGCTCTCACCCCCCTCACACCAAACAAGTACTTCCCCCCACCTCAGCCCCATCTCCCCTCTTTCAGGGTCAAACCCTTCCCCTCCTCCTAGGGCTCCCCTCCTTCATCAAGAGTCCCTCCCCAGCTTTCCTGGAGCCCCTTGAGGGACTGGAAGGGGCTCCAAGGTCTCCCCAGAGCCTTCTCTTCTCCAGGCTGAACCCCCCCAACTCTCTCAGCCTGTCCTCCCAGCAGAGGGGCTCCAGCCCTCCCAGCATCTTTGTGGCCTCCTCTGCTCAAACAGGTCCACGTCCTTCCTGTGCTGGTACCCTGGGTGATGTGACTCCTCTGCTCAAACAGGTCCACATCCTTCCTGTGCTGGTACCCTGGGTGATGTGGGGCTGAGCTGGGATAACTCTTCCCTGTCACCCAGCACCGACCATTAGGCTATTTGGTCTTCCAGTTTGCAAGGGAAGAGCTCTGCTGCCCAGAATGATGAGTCCCAGGCTGCACGTGCTCTGGCAGCCCCACCACTCTATCACCCTACCTTCCCAGTGCATCCCACCAGCATCTCCCCACCAAAATAAAGCTGTGTGCACTTACTCCCAGGAGCCTGCCAGGTCCAGAGGCAGGGACCGAAGCCTGTTGGCCGTCAAGCGAAGGACTTTGAGCTGGGACAAATCTCCCAACGTCCAAACATCCTGGGGGGACAAGTTATTGTAGGAGAGATCCAGATCCTGAAGGAAAGAGAAGAAATAATCCCCTGGAGCAAAGAACAATCTCTATTGGCTTTCCCCAGGTAGATATCAGCTGTATTTCCCCAGGAGGAGCTCAAAGCACTTTAGAAATTGTTTTAATATGAATTTCCAATCAGGCTTCCCAGAGGAGCTCAAAGCACTTTAGAAATCATTTTAATATGAATTTCCAATCAGGCTTCCCAGGGTTTCTTTCTCCAGGCTGCCAGCAAATGAGATTCCAGGCCCTGGTCAAGGATGAAGCTGAGATCCACCAGGGCATAGCAGGAAGGGGAATTTAGGTGGGTCCCATCCCCACCTTTCAGTGCCAGGGGTGCTCACAGAGGGACAGATGGGATCAACCCTGGCCTCATGAGCCTTAGAAATTTGGTTCCCCATCACCTGGGCATGTGGTCACTGAGGCAAACCCTGAGGAGGTGACCAACAGTGCAAGGGACAAAAATGGGAGAACTTCATGGATTTAGGAACCTTCCAAAGCCTGCAAGCAGGAGGAAGGCCAGGATCTGAGTGTACAGAGCTGACAGCTGAGCCACCAACAATTCTTTGAATGAGACAAGAAGAAAGAAGCCTTTTAAGACAAAACTTTATATCCAGCAGCAATCACAAACCATGTGTAAAGTGAGAGAGAGAAATCCAGGCAAGGACACCTCCTTGAAGAGAGCAAGCCTAGATAAAGTCAGTACAGCCAAGCCAGAGCCTGAGCCCTCTGTAGCAGAAACACATTCCAAGCTGGATGGAGAGGACAACCATAGCCATCATCCAGGGCACAGTTGCCTGTTCTTAGGATCCACTTTGTCTCTTTTTTTAAGAAAAAACCCCAAACTGCCTCCTTTGCTGTGTTAGAATAGAATGGTTTGGGTTGGAAGGGACCTTAAAGATCATGTAGTTCCAAGCCCCTTGCTGTGGGAAGGGACACCTCCAACCAGACCAGGTGTCTAGTGTTGGGGAAACTGTGGAGACCTATTTAGAGAGGAGGAGGACAGGATGCAGAGAGGTAGAGCATGGTGTGGAGGAGGATCGGATGGAGGACGGTGGAGCGTGTCCAGAGAAGGGCAACAGAGTTGCTGTGGGAAGGGACACCTCCAACCAGACCAGGTGTCTAGTGTTGGGGAAACTGTGGAGACCTATTTAGAGAGGAGGAGGACAGGATGCAGAGAGGTAGAGCATGGTGTGGAGGAGGATGGGATGGAGGACGGTGGAGCGTGTCCAGAGAAGGGCAACAGAGCTGGTGAGGGGTCTGGAGCACAAGGAGAAAGGTCTGGAGAACTTCTGAGGGAGCTGGGGGTGTTGAGCCTGGAGAAAAGGAGGCTGAGGGGAGACCTTCTGGCTCTCTCCAACTCCCTGAAAGGAGGGTGTAGCCAGGGGGGGTTGGTCTCTTCTCCCAAGGAACAGGCCATGGGACAAGAGGAAATGGCCTCAAGTTGCACCAGGGGAGTTTTGGGATGGATATTGGGGACAATTTCTTCACAGAAAGGGTTGTGCGGATATTGGGGGAAATTTCTTCTCAGAAAGGGTTGTGAAGCCTTGGCAGAGGCTGCCCAGGGCAGTGGTGGAGTCTCCATCCCTGGAGGGATTTCAAAGCCGGGCAGACGTGGTGCTGAGGGACATGGGTCAGTGGTGGGGTTGTCAATGGTGGGGTGATGGTTGGACTCCATGATCTGAAAGGTCCCTTCCAACCTCGACCATTCTATGGTTCTGTGGGGATCTGGTGGGGACCACACAGCCTCAGGGAGGTGAGGGATGACACAGGTGACCGCAGGATCCCCCAGCAAAGGGGGCAGCCCATCACAGTGGAAACAAGGAGTCCTGTGGGAAGAGGCTGAGCAAAGGTGCATTCTGTGATTCTGTGGGGATCTGCTGGGGACCACACAGCATCAGGGAGGTGAGGGATGACACAGGTGACCGCAGGATCCCCCAGCAAAGGGGGCAGCCCATCACAGTGGAAACAAGGAGTCCTGTGGGAAGAGGCTGAGCAAAGGCCATCTGTGAGGGATTGGTCTGCAGGAAGCAGCAAGATATGAAGGTCCTTGAGGGACACAGCAGAAAGGACATCCCAGAGTCATGAGGAAGAAGGAATAAAGAAAGACCCTGCAGATTCAGAAGACTCCCACTGCAGGGACATGCATCAACACTACGTGTAGGCTTCAGCATGACAGTTGGGAGGAGTTGAATAAGGTCTCAGATCCCCCTCATCTTACTTTCAAATGCAGGAAGTCTCCAGCGGTGATTTTCAGATTTCTTAGTCCATTTAAGGAAAGTTCCAGTTCCCTCAGTCCTGGAAACTTCCGAAAGGGTTCTGCAAAAGTGGAAAAGGAAATGCTCCAGCGAGTGAGGATCAGCAGTAACAGAACAAACAACAAACCATGTCTTATCTTGGTCTGGAATGGACCAAAACCAGAAAGAACAAGCAGCACTAGTATTGTCAGTATCATATCCCTGCCCATGGCAGGGGGGTTGGAACTCAATGATCTTTTGGGTCCCTCCCAACCCAATGATTCTGTGTCTGAAAGAAAATGCCAGCTCAGTTGGATGTTTGTCCCTACAAAACATGATGTCCCACCAGCCTACTCCTGGGACATCTGGTTGGCCTTCATGCATTTCCTCCCACCCCAAATTGGATTATTGCTTGAAGGCACTGCTGGCACATTTAGTTTAGATGTTTTACTAGTTATAAACAGATTTCCTTTTTTCCTTCTTCAAATTAACTGAGCCCATGACACTGGATTTGGATTCACCTCCCAGCTCTACCATTAACCTTCTGAGCCTCTGGGACAAGCTGTTTCATTATTCCATGCTTCTATATATTAAATGGGGATTTCCTTTGTAAAGAGCTTTATTTTCTAATAATGAAAAGGATACCACAGTGGCACACAATTATGGTTAGCACAAAGGCAATTAGTGCAAGGATTTCAGCTCAGTAACAGGAAGAAAGCAACGCTGCAAACAAGTGCTGATCTGTGTATCTTAAACCTCTTTGTAAAGCTCTAGACCTTTGTTCAGACAAGTGGAAGCTTCCCTGGGTGGAAAAGCAGCCTCTATTTATTTTTTTTTTGGTAATGCAACCCCTTACCTAGTGTCAGCAGGTTCTCAGCAGCATTTATAAAAGCAACACAATCAAATTTCTCAAAATCATCTTCTTTAGCCTGAAAAACGCAGAAGGAAAAAAAATAAAATCATTCCATTTCAGCCCTAAACTGATCTGAAATAACTGGATCTCTCCTTTTCTCAGAATGCCTAAATCAGGGTATTTGCCATAATTAGGTCTTCATTTGTTTTGCTGACGATGGAGAGCAACTCCTCAGAGTGTCCATTTAATGCCCAGCTGCCTCAGTGACATCCAGAAGCTCATTTTGTTTTCGTGTGGCAAGTTAGTCAAGGACCCAAATCAAAGTCACTCCTCAAGCTGAACTCCTTTCATAGTTGAGCTAAACATCCCTGAACCCAAAGACCAGATTTTTGCAAGGGGTGTGATGTAAGAAGGGGCTATGCCTGATTAAGACCAAGTTCATTAGGTTATGAAGACACGATCCAAAAGTTTGTAGGACAAACCATCCAAGCCTGTCCACAGTGGGTGGCTCATCTTCCTGTGCAAGGAATATACTTGCATTTAACGTGTGTTTTCCCTGATCTCTGGACACTCGTGTGCTGAGAGGGTAAATTTTTCAACTTTTTAAGCAGTTCCCTAGTCCTTCTAGGGCCTCTGATACTCACAGAGACCAGATTTTGGTTGCTTATGTTCACACAGCACAGGTCAGAGGGGTTCTTCAAACAGTGGTGCTTCATCTGGGGAAAAAAAAGAAACAAACAGAAATGGTTAGTCCTAATTGTACATGATGTCCTGAGACCTGAGCCCCAAGCCCCAAAACCAGACCTCACCTGGTCCTTTGAGTCATGGAAAGTGGGGAGAAGGTGGCCTGGAGATGGGGAGGGAGAGGCAGCTACAGAGTGTGTCCTCCAGCAGGATCTCCCCAGCTCCACAAAGAAAGTTTAGGTAATAATGGAGAAAATCTGTGCTCACCAGAAATGGTTCATCCAGGACATTGTCTTTAGTATGTTCTTCCATGGAGTCAGACTCTGGGGGCTTTCTCCTCTGCTGTGGTGTCTTCCTGGTGGTTCCTTTCTTAGTCCAAGCCCTTGGGGTAGCTCTGCGTGCCCCCATCCAGTGCCCAGACCCTGGCACCACGATGGAGCAAGGCAGAGGAGATGGTATAGTGAGCACACAACCCTCCAAACGTGCCCTTCTCAAAGAGGCTGCTCTCCACCTGGTGTTTCAGCCCAACATTGGAATCCACTATTTTAAAATCCCCTACATGGGGAAATACTGGAGTATAAAACGTTCGGTGACCATAAATTTAAGGTAGGAATATTAAAACCAGAGCCACAGAAGAGGAAAAACATCCTCCTTTATAGATGGTAATAGAGCTATAGGTTGCAGACATGAAAACGTGGGCTGTAAGAACCTTCTGGAGGTCTTCAGTCCAACCTCCCACCCAAAGCAGGACCATCAGCAATGTTAGATCAGTCAGTCGTGGCTTTCTCTGGCGATTCCACCAGCTCCCAGGGTAACCTGGCCCAGAGCTGCACCTCCTCCCAGCAAAGAAGTTTCTCCTAACGTTTCCGGTGACCATAAATTTAAGGTAGGAACTTTAAAACCAGAGACACAGAAGAGGAAAAACGTCCTCCTTTATAGGTGGTAATAGAGCCATAGGTTGCAGACATGGAAACGTGGGCTGGAAGAACCTTCTGGAGGTCTCCAGTCCAACCTCCCACCCAAAGCAGGACCATCAGCAACGTTAGTTCAGTCGTGGCTTTGTCTGGTGATTCCACCAGCTCCCAGGGTAACCTGGCCCAGAGCTGCTGTTAGATCAGTCAGTCGTGGCTTTCTCTGGCGATTCCACCAGCTCCCAGGGTAACCTGGCCCAGAGCTGCACCTCCTCCCAGCAGAGAAGTTTCTCCTAACGTTCAACCTAAACCTCCCAAGATGAAATTTTTGGCTTAGTTATGCCATCTCCCACTGCTAAGAGTTTGTGGCTGTCCTTCAGGTAAGCCACAATCTCCCCTTGGACTCCTCTTGGCCAGATAAAAAACAAGCTCAGCACTCTCAACCTCTCCTAGAAGGTGCTGTGCTCCAGACCCCTCAGCCTAGTAGACCTCTCCACCACTTCTCGGATGTTAGAAGACATTTCTGCCCATTTCTAAGCATTTTGCAGATGGGACTCTCAAAGCCCAGAGAAAAAGCAGAAGCTTTGGCTCAGAATAGCTGCTGGAGAACCCCACTGTGTTATCCATGTGACTGTCTGAAGCTTCTCTCCTGCCATCATGTGGAGATGCCTGCTGGAGCCCTCATCTAACGGGTGGCCCTAGGCATCCTGCCCTCTTCATTGCAATGAGGTTTTAAACAATATTAAAACCTTCTGGGCACCATTTTGAGTTCTGTTATCAACTGTTATCTGTGTGATCAGCTGGGATGTTGATACAGGAAACCACAGCTGAATGTACCCTCTGTCTGGCCCAACAACAGGGTGGGTGGTGGACCTGCCCCTACGGACACGACGTTATTCTGCAGGGTGGCTTCACCAGCTGCGCTCAAAGAAATGTCACCTTCTTTACTTCCACGTAAAATGTTCTTGGCAGGGAAGGAGTTAGTTCCATAGTTGCTTTCATCACCCATTTTATACAGCCCTGTTGTAGCCATCTCGATCGTAGCGTTCCTGAAGAGAGTGGAAAACACAGCAAAGGGGTTAAAATTTTAATTGGCTCTACCATTACTTTGCTTTAAACAGCTCTTCCCAAGGGTAGCCACAAATGAAGTGTCAGCCTGTAGGCAAAATAAACACTGTCAGGGACACACGAGGAGTATCACCTCCTAAAACAGAGAAGTAAATGAGGTGACAGGAGTGGGTGCAGTATTTTCCAGCTCACGAGAGCAAAATGCAGACACCGGCGCGTGCGTGAGTCGGTGTGGATGACAACTCACAGGATTTACACTTTAGCCCTCATTCCTTCTTCTCTGTCTCCTTTCCCTTGTCACTCGTGGAGGCTCTGGGTAAAAGAACTGCACCGGTCAGCACTCCCCAAACCTCAGAAATAAACTTTAAAGGCTCTGCGTCGCTCTCGCCCTGTGTCCTGTAGCAGGAGATGGAGGATCTAGATAGATTGGATCACTGGGCCAATGCCAATGGAATGAGTTTCAACAAGGGCAAGTGCCAGGTCCTGCACTTGGGCCACAATAACCCCCTGCTACAGGCTGGGGGAAGTGTGGCTGGAGCTGCCTGGAAGAAAAAGACCTGGGGGTTCTAGTTGACAAACGGCTGAATACGAGCCAACAGTGTGCCCAGGTGGCCAAGAAAGACAATGGCATCCTGGCTTGTATCAAAAATAGTGTGACCAGCAGAAGTAGGGAGGTGATTGTGCCCCTGTACTCAGCACTGGGGAGGCCACACCTCGAGTATTGTGTCCAGTTTTGGGCACCTCAATACAAGAGGGGCCTGGAGAACAAGTCCTATGAGGAGAGGCTGAGGGAACTGGGCATGTTTAGTTTGGAGAAGAGGAGGCTGAGGGGAGACCTCATGGCCCTCTACAACTCCCTGAAAGGAGGGTGTAGAGAGGCAGGTGTTGGCCTCTTCTCCCAAAGGACGAACGACAAGCCCAGAGGAAATGGTCTGAAGTTGGGGCAGGGGAGATTTAGATTAGATATTAGAAAGAAAGAGGAGGCTGAGGGGAGACCTCATCACTCTCTACAACTATGTGAAAGGACACTGTAGAGAGGTTGGTGCTGGTCTCTTCTCACAGGTAATTAGTGACAGAACGAGAGGGAACGGCTTCAAGCTCCAACAGGGGAGGTTTAGATTGAACATTAGGAAAGAATTTTTCACCGAAAGAGCATTGGAACAGGCTGCCCAGGGAGGTGGTGGAGTCACCATCCCTGGATGTGTTTAAGGGCCGTTTAGATGCAGTGCTAAGGGACATGGTGTAGGAGAGGACTTTGTAGAGTAGGGGAGATGGTTGGACTTGATGATCCCAAGGGTCTCTTCCAACCTAGACCATTCTATGATTCTATGATTCTATGGTCTCCCAGTGCCATCTGATGGTGTCTCCACACTCAGCCACCGCTCTGACATCCTACGGCAGGGCTGGACTATGGTGTTCACCCACGGCGCCAATATTTGGGGTAACCCTCCTCTGCAACAGGCGCTGTTTCACCACCACACAGTGATGCTGCAGTAACTACACCCCCCCCAACACGCACCCATAGACCCCTGCTGCCCTCAAGCACCCTCACACTGATACACACCCCAACAAAAACACCCACGAACACCCTTACACACCCCACTCATACACATGCACACCCCATGCACCCATCCACCATATAAACACTCCCCACACACTCCTCACTGCACCTCTACGACACACAGCCCACGCTCTTAACACCCCAAAACACCCAACACCCATGCACACCCCACACAAACACCCACAAACAACCTCACACGCTCCATGGACACCCACAGAAACACTCCCCACACGAGTGGACAACCCACAACAATGCACACCCCACACAAACACCCACAAACAACCTCACACACCCCACAGAAACCCCCCCCCACTCTGGCAGACACCCACAACGATGCACACCCCATATAAACACCCTCACACACCCCTTACAAACCCACACACAGACTCCCCACGCAGACAGACACCCACATCCATGTACCCCACACACGAACACCCTCACAAAAACCCCGAACACCGACACACACACTCCCCACGCTGGTGAACAGCCCACAACGATGCACACCCCCCCACAAACACCCCATGCAGACACCCAGGGGCACCCTCCCACCCACATACACCCCCCCACGCCCACTCACGATGCTATAGACACCCCCACTCCTCACATATACAGAATCACAGAATCTTCTAGGTTGGAAGGGACCTTCAAGATCATCTTGTCCAACCATCAACCTAACTGACAAAAATAGACACCCACACAACAAACAAGGAGCATCATCACTAAACCATACCTCCCAGCACTACATCAACC